CAACTGCCTCCAATCTCTTTTATACAGAGATTTCAGGTTAATCTTCCCAAACTATACTTCTAACTCAGTTGTTCTTTTATTAAATTTGTAACGTTTATTTATTTTGAGAGAGAGAGAGAGACAGAGCATGAGCAGAGGAGAGGTAGAGAAAGAGGGAGACACAGAATCTGAAGCAGGCTCCAGGCTCTAAGCTGCCAGCACAGAGCCTGATGCGGGACTTCAACCCATGAGTGAGATCATGACCTGATCTCAAGTCAGACGCTCAACCAACTGAACCACCCAGGTGCCCCTCAGTGGCTCTTAATGGAAAGCAATCAATCACATTCTCACTCCCAGGGATGCTTGACAATGTCTGTTGATATTTTTGGTTTCCACAACTCAGTGGGGGAGGGATAATTTGCAGACATCTGGTTGGTAGAGGCCAAGGTGCTACAACACACAAGACAACCCTCTCCACCCTGCCCCACTTCACCCCCATACAACAAAGTGGGGGGTTATTTTGGCCCAAAATATCAATAGTGCCAATGCTGAGAAACTGTTTTCTATAATGTTATCCTCTGATCATAAGATTTCCATTGTTCCCCATTGCTTGTGGGAAAGATGCCAGATTTCATGACCCCTCCTGGTCTCGATTCAGCTTATTATTTGCTAACTATATCTTCTTTTCTGTAGCAACTCTGAATGGAGTACTGTTTCTGAAGAATGTGGTCAACATTCTCACATACATAACTTTGTTCACACCAACCATTCCCACTTCCTAGAATGCCCACTTCTCACTACTAAAGTCAAGTTGAAATGCTATGTTCTCTATAAAGCATTACCTGAGCACTTGTTGTGATGAGCACTGGGTGCAGTATGTATGTGATGAATCACTAAACGTTGAATTATATTCCTAAAACCAATATTGCACTGTATGTTAACTAACTAAAATTTAAGTAAACACACACACACACACACACACACACACACACACACACCACAAACATTACCTGAGCCTGAATTCTCCCAGATAAAAATAATTCTTCTTTTCCTAGATATTTCTGTAGAATTTCTTATATGTCTCTTAAAGCATTTATCACAGTCATAGTAGAATGGACATTTTGAGTTGGAAAGGGATTTTAAAAATCTCTCCAGCAAAATTTCCTTCACTTAAAAAAAAGGAAATTGAGATACAAAAAGTTGAAATGATTAGTTGAAGGCATTATACTTTGGACTATAGTAACTTGTATCCTTGGCTCCATTCTCTTGGCATGGTTGAAATAGGTGACCATGGATGTTCAGTCCTGGCACTCACATCTGAACACTTGTAAGTTGGTGAAGTAATTTATCTTTCTGAGACTCCATTTTCTCACATGTTAAGGAAAATAATTATACTGTTGTGAGAATAAAATCAAATAGTGTATTCAAAATGTATGGCATATAGTAGGAACTTAATATATATTTGTTAGATGAATAGAAGAATCAACAGTGCTTCAAGGAATAGGATTTAGGGGTTGGTGATGGTCCATGGGACTTCACTAAAAGGCAATTGGAGGAAAAGTATGGTATCTCATTGTCACTGCTCTCTGTTTTGCACCTTTTCATAGGAAGCACAAGTTCCTCTATAGAGCATCAAATCAGTGTCCAAGCTTTCTGTGGAGTAGGTGAATATTGACAGCAAATCTCAACTTGAAGGTGTAGTTCTCAAAAGGTTTGCTTCCCCCCACCTCCCCTTTGCAATGCTAGTGATATAACCTCTTTATTTCCACAAGTAGATAATAGGGAGGATTGTGGGAAGAAGTTTGGATAGAAGATGTATTTCCTCTATTTCTCATTGGCTCCCTGTATGGCAGCAGCCTGTAGCTTAGTGCTGCTCAGTGACCTAATAAGAGTCTCTGTGACTCTGTGACTCTGTGAAAAGAAACTCTGAGTGCATTTGGTGTGGCAGTGGGAGCGCTTTGGTGCTGAATCCTAGCCCAGCGATACCTGGCTCTGACTGACTTCAATAAAGTTTATTGAAGCTCTTCTAGCCAGGTCTTCGCTCTGGAGTTACCCACTCTGTCAGCTTTCTTTTTGTCTAGGGCTTTGAAGTACTGGCATGCTATGCATTTATTCCTTTCATTTACAAAAACAAGTCTTTCCCTGGTCCCTGGGTGCATGTATCTAATAAAAGTATCCCCGCTACTCTGACAAGCAACCAAAGAAATACAATGAAACTTCTGATGCCTTGTTTGGACTAGATTGAGCATTCCAGAGAGGAGGAAGTTGCCTGACAGTTGGTCCACTGCAGAGCTGGATCCTGTCTACTCTACTATGTGAGCACAGGAGATTTCAGTTAGAGAGGTTACAGGAGAAGTTCAGGTAAATCTATTATGAATTAATTTAGAAGCCTCCTCTTTAGGGCTTATAGGTCAAGGATCCTATAATGGGAAAATGGCTTTTGAGAGGATGAAAAAAGTGAACAGTAGAAGACAGAGTACCAGAGAGTAGAGAGACGTGGTCTGGATCCTTGCTTTTACCGCTTTGTTTCTGAGAGAGTTCCTAAGGCTATCAACTAAGCCTCACATTCCTGTCTGTGAACTGGGTACAATAAAACCTGCAGCCTTCTTATTAAGGATGGAAGAAGTGGAAGATTTCCCCATCTCTAGAGTTTTCACCTTGTGAAGCCCAAAGCATTATATAAAACCTCCTACTTTTAGTAAGGAACTGAGTATGTGTGTATGTCTAAGGAGAGGTGTGACAAGGTGGCTGGGGAACAAATTTATTGGTTGCTTGCCTCAATATGATATTCTTGTTTATTCTTCCCAAAGATCCACGATTATTGTTCATGTTAAGGCCACTTTATAGATAGTTAGATTATTTTCTCTAATAATGGTTCTCTTTCAAATTCACCCCATCTATCTAAGGATTGCATTATTTCCATTATCTACTATAGTCTGGCTTTCACTATAATTTTCAGTGGGACTTCAGGGAGTTATATGCCTGCCTCCATCTATGGTAAAGTAGTATTTCTGCTGAAGAACTGAACTTTGACATTTGCCATGGGATGGGATAAGGGATTCACTCATTCATTCAAGTATAGAAGGAAATATATACACAGTGCTAATGAGGGCCTCTGATGAAGGAATTTGACTTAGGGAGGTCAGGGAGGGCTTCACTAAGGAATTAATGATTAGGCTAAGCTTTGAAGAATGACCGAAAATTCACTAGGCAAAAAGAGTGGTGGGAAGTATATGTGTACATGTGTACATGCAGTAAGCGTGTTAGGGAGTAGAATATGCATAGGCCTTATGGTGGGAAGGACCATAGCACATTCCAGAAACAAATAGATTAATACTATAGCCAGTTTTGTAACTTTAATAAAAAAATTTAAGCCATAGGGTTGGATGTTGAGGGTTAAAAATGTAAGTGTACCCACCTTTGGAGTATTGTTAGGCTAAATTGTGCATACTGAACACCCATTGTTGATAGAGCATGGGAGTCATTATCAAGAAAGAAACTAATACATCTGCACTGTTGAGCCAATAATCTGGAAGTAGGTAAAGGGTAGATGAAAAATATTTGATATATAAAATTTCCTCCCAACATTTTGACCAACAGGTATACCTATGTAAGGGATGTATGGACAAACTCCTGGAGGGATACTTGGTTGAGGTGACTTGAGCCCACTGGGGTTAATCGAGGAAAGTTTCTTGGAAGTCCTGGATAGTGTTCCGAGGAAGATATGAATTGGTGAATAAGAGGAAAGAAGTTGTTTCTGGCAGGAAAGACAGTATTAATGATAATTTGGTGTAGAAGGAACACTATATCTGAGGTGAGAAATTTGGGATAAATTAGGCTGGCGTGAATGGAGGAGCAAAGCAGCCTAATTTGGGGCCATCTTAGACTCTTTATATGACACACCAACTAGTCAATTAGAAAAAGGAAAACTAAGGTTCACTGGGCACCATGTGAACAGAAACAATTGGTTATTAAAAAGTAAATTGTGAAGACCAGTCTTGACATCTCCAACTGACTGTAGTTAGGACCAACTTTCTGCAAGAGTGTGAGGTAGGTGAAGGTCACTTCCTACCTTTTACCTCAGTACCACTCTGTAATTTCCTATCACTGGCATCTATTCCAATTTCTGGAGTTTTGTTTGCTTAAGCACTTGATTTTTAGCATTTGGTTTTTACTTTGTTCCCTTATAAATTAATAGCTCTCCTTTCTTTTGGCATTGACATTTTCTGAGGGAGAATTCTCTGAGAAAGAACAAATACTTCAAAAGACAGAATCTACTTCTGATAGGATGGCAGGTGGTGGAGTGGATGTTTTTGAACAGGCGACCTTTCCTATTACCCTTCAAATTGAAATTGCTGCCTTACAAGCTTGGCCTTGATTCCAATGCATATTTCTTCCCTTGATGCTGCAAGGGTAGGTTAAGATAAGGACATGTAATAATGAGCAAGGTATTTTTATTTATTTTTTGTCTGCCAAATCTCCTGATGATGCAGAATATGGTTCTTTGGAAATAGTCTATGCACTGTAGTACATCATTGTGGTGAAAAACATAGAGCTTTAGAGTGAAGGTTAGCCAGTGTTTATACCCTGACTCTATTGCTGTCTATCTGTGTTATTTTTCACAATTAATTGAGCCTGTGCCTCAGCTACCTCATCTAATATAAAACAGGGATAATAAGAGTGCCTATCTCATATAGTTGCTGTAATGATCAATGAGATGTATGTCTAAAGAGTTTAGCATAGTTCTTGACACATGATTAAGTTGTTATCAACCTAATGCTATTTTATTAGCATCACCACCACCATTACCACGCACACCACCCCCAGGTTCCTACTGTAATACAATAAAATTTTGTAACTTCTTTCTAAAGCAAATACCAGCCATAAGCAAAAGAGGAAAAGGAGGAAACAGGAAGCCAAGTTGTATTTGTTGTTTCATATTGTCACATTAACCCTAACATCTCAAAGAGAATGTATGGGAAGACAACCCAACCCTTATGTCTCTATCCCCATTTCTACAGGTACCTGTCGGCTTGGCTGGGCCTATTACTGTGCTGGAGGTGGAGCAGCTGCAGCCATGTTGATCTGCACTTGGCTCTCTTGCTTTGCTGGAAGAAACCCCAAGCCTGTCATTTTGGTGGAGAACATCATGAGGAACACCAATTCTTATGCCATGGAGCTTGACCATTGCCTCAAACCTTGAGTTTTGGCAGAAGAGTGGAGAGGTGGAGAGGGTGGGAAAGAGAAGGGAAGAGAGCCTTGAAAAGAGGCACTAAGACTAGGCCACTTGCTACCCACCTGCTAGTAGTGTAGCCTAGTGTTTGCATGCTTTTGAACTCACTGGTCAGTCATTTTCACTTTCGTTTAAGCTAATGGGTCAACAGCTATTTACAGAATTCATCCAGAACTATGATTCTCTCAAATGTTTACCTAGCTGGTGAGTACCCACTAGCCCTCAAGTCCCAAAGTGCTCTTTTATGCAAAATAAGGAGAAGATCCTCGCCTGAAAGTTAAATTCACAATCAAGTAGCTCTTCAGAGTTCTACAGCTCCTGTCTATCACTTAAAGGCTGTGCAAGAACCTGTGTGCAGGGAAGGACTAGGAGATGGACAGAGCTGGTTCCTACCACTCCATTCATATGGCCCTCCCCCTGGTATTTATTGCCATATCCAAACCTCTATAGAGTGCCACTGCTCAAATTTTTGTGACCTTCTCAGGACTATAGCTTGACTCTTCCTATTTTCTCCTGCTTCTCTACCTTTCCAGTTGTGGGAAACCTTATGGGGAGGGTGACTCCCAGTGGAGAAAACACTAATCAAGTATGTTTGCCTTAGTCCAAGACCCTATCCTTACTATGCTTTACAATATTCATAAGAGTTCATTTAGTGTTCTGGCTGGGCGACTGGCATCAAAATAGTGGCAAGAATTCGTTACTCCCTTACAGATTCAGAAATGGTGGTCATCCAATGTTCTTGAGCAGAGACTAACATTTTTTGTACCCTCAATAAACATGGATTCACAATGATAATAACAAGGATATATCTGCTGGCTCCTTATTGACATTTCTATTAGAGTTTGTTTTTATTGACTAAGAAATCCACAGTGACCTTTTGCCCCTATAGTCATTCCTAGCATGATATAAGCTGCTCTGCCTGTTTCAAAGAATGCTCATCAAATGCTTTCCCCTCCATCTGGGGTGAATTCGACATGAAAGAGCATAGCTCTGGTGTGACCTAGGGCTGATGTATTTTTAGGGTTGACCTCCATCCCATCTGTGCTCAAGGTTGATGGATGTTGTAGAAGAACTTGGTATCTCCCAGGGACAGAATTTGTCTACTGCTACACCTCCCCCCACCCACAGCCATTAATCCATCCAACTCTATTGTTCTATAACTATAGCTTTAGGGATTAGGGAGAGCCTGTGACCTAAAAGCCCAGCTCATCTGTTTCTATTCTTAATCACTCCAGAGTGGTTTGGGTACAGCCTTACCGGGAAGGAGAAAAATGGCAAAAACTGGCCTCATTAGTTATATGCCATTTCAAGAAGTTTTGATCCTGATATTGATCTTACATAGGTAAGTGAATCAAGCATATATTTCATTCATGAGCTCATTCGTTCATTTATTCATTCATTCAGGACACATCTCTTGAGCATCCTACTACATGCCACATTCTGTGCTAAGTGCTGAGGATAAAAGGAAGAAGAAACAGTTTCATATCTTAGAAGAGTTAGTTGTGGGCATTGACAGACATGTAGATAAATAATTGCCAGTGTGTTGAGTGCTAGTAAGTGAAGGAAAGGGGGCTAAAGGATCATGCAGAGAAGCCACTAAAACAATTTGGGGTGAAGGGGTTCATGAGAAAACTTCATAGGAAAGATGATGCCTAAGAGAAATCTGAGAGATGAGTAGAAAGAGCTAGCAAAGGCAAGGTGTACCAGACAAAAGAGCAGGGAAACCAGAGTCATGGGGACATGAAAAGAAAATGAGACCATCATGAAAGCAATGAATGGGTTTGTATAAGTGGAGGTGGCAGAAAAATTTGAAGCTGAAAAGGGAAATACTACCCAGATTCCATGGGGCTTTCTACATCAGGATAAGTAGTTTGGATTTTATCCTAAAGGAGCACCATTGAAAGGGAAGTGACATAAACCTATTTGTGTTTTTTTCAAAGGTAAGTTTGACAGAAGTGAGGAGAATAAGGAGAAACTAGAAATATTTCCATAATCCAGCTGTAAAAGGATCCAATCCTGACTAAGGTAGTAACTGTGGGGCTTGAGCAGATCGTGAATCTGAAAGAAGATATTTAGGAATTAGATTCCGCAGCACTTAGCCTAATGGATATGTATAAGTGAGGGCAAGTGAAAATTTGGGGATCACCACTTTGAGATATGAGTGGTCTTTGTCACTGAGATGGGGGTACTGGAGGAATAACATAGTAAGGAACTGGTGATTGAATTCATGTCAAGCATTATCTTCCTCATGGAACTGGATTAAGTGTTTAAAGTAAGGCAAGTTGAAAATATCTCAATGGGAGGAAAGCAGTGTAATTGGGTTTGCAATTATAAGAAAGATGACTAAGAAGAGACAAAACAAAATGGAACCAGCACAAACCTCCTTTTTAATTATGTAGAAAAAATAATGCAACTTTAATATAGGAAACCCCAAGATATGGAGAGTAAGTCAGGCATTTGAGAAAAGACAGACAACTCTCTTTTAAAAAGATCAGGGGACCCCGCTTCTCAGGATAGGGAACATTCTGGAATTCTGTGGTATGGAATTTGTGGAAGTGGCATAAGTCTTTAAGTCAATGTCTTGGGAGGAAACAGATGGCATACTCAGTAAGGTAGATTTAGCTGAGATGAGTTTAATGCAGGGACCATTTATGGTGGTATGGGTAGGATTAAAGAAACCTGCAGTGCTGATGAGACATACAGATACTATGAACAGTGCGGAGGTGTCAGCACCCCTAAGACTGAAAGGGCAAGGGGAAGAGACTGAATTATTGGAACCCATCAAAATGGGTTCCATCAAAATAGCTATACTAGTGCTGATGGGGGCTGCTGGGTAAGAGCTGTGGCTTTAGGTAGCACAATGTGGGCTCTGCCTATATACAACACAGCTGGGAGGGATACAGGGACATAAAATCTGTATATCTCACTCTGTTACCACTCTGATCTCCTGCCAGTGCCCACCATTAGCCAGACCCAGCCAGATGCCAGCTGGTAAGGAAGCTATTGCTACAGTCCATTGAGGTCAGCTTTGGCATGGAACATGGCAGAGAAGGGCAGAGAATGGACTTTGGGGGTGTGAGGGGCAAATGGAAAATAACAGCTCAGTGGTGAGTATACTTAGCCCTTGACACTGCCGTTTTCTTACACATTGCTCTCCAGGAAGTCTATGCTTTGCTGCCCTACATGGCTCAGACATCTGAACACACTGGGAAGTATTTACACCCTGAACAGGAGACTGAACAGGACAGAGTTAATTCAAAAGAACAACTATTTTAAATGACTGTCACCTTGTATAAGGTACTAGTTATTTGGAATGTTTACTCTCCTTTTCCAGGGAAAGGGGATAGGATTTAAAAGGGATTTTTTTCCTTGTTCTTTGAGGAAACCAGGCCTTCAGGGGGCTTATACTGAAAGAAGGATACAGCCCCTTATTCAATTTGAATTTAAATTCCTTTCTGCCTGTGTCTGGTTTCTTTGCTGCCAAGCCTTGTTTTTGCATAGATGTCTGAGTAGCCTCTTTTTTTCCCCCTGTGGCCTGGAGCAGGCTCTTGAAAACTAAGCCTGCCTTCTCTGGCTGCTGTTGAGCAGAGAGGAAGAAGAGCCATTTGGTCAAGAGGAGGGCCAAATGAGTCTGGTGAGGACCTTAGAAACTGTGGTTTGTCTCATGCCTGGCTGGCTGTCATGCTCCCCACCTGCATACACAGATGGAGTAGCAAGCCATGGATCCTTTACCACTCCTGGAAACACTTAGATCTTCTGGGGGGGTGGGGGATTGGTGACAGGTGGGAGGCTATTCACCTGGACAAGCTCACAATACACTGACTATTTCATAAGAGCCCATTTAGCAGGACATTTCAGGAGAAAATGCCAGATTGGCAGTAACTGCCCCATTAATATGCCTTCCTGTCTGTAGGGTTATAGTTTCTACACCCTGGATGGCCCTTGGTCTACTGCAAGTGTTAAGTCACACAGGTGTGTCTTAGGCAATGTCCTCTCCCGAATGTTGTCCCTCATTATCTCTGTTCTCAGAGGAATAGCTGCCTCTGTTCACTTCCAGGCACCGGGATCCTGCCTTGCAAAGATGGAAAGGAAACAAAGATGGAAAGGCTCTGGCCTCTGGGAAAGGGGTTTCTGGATTCTGTAAGAATAAGTGGCAATAAAAGATTTTTGCTGGATAAATAGCTTCCCACATCCCATGAAAGATGTGGGGATGAGGAAGCTACTGAGACCCACATGCTTTATAAACTTTTGAACAACTTGCATTATGAGGGAGGGCCTGGCCCCTTCAAAATGTGATAGAGACCCTCTTCAGTCTGGCATTCACTCTTGGTAGAAGTACTAATGTGATGAAACTACAGGATTGTATTTGGTCCCAAGGCAACCTGTTGGGGGGGGGGGGGGGGAAGGAAGTTTCAAGAAAACTAATAGTGAACGCATTTTGTAAAATATGGAAGGCATCCCACTTGGGGGTTTAAGGGGAAAGGTGTGCTATTTCTGGAACTCACAATGATCTCTTACCAGGCCCAGTAAAACTTTCTTAGAAGACAGGAGGCAGGACCCTTTCAAGGAGTCATCTCCACTCCATGTCCTTGGTTTAAAGGCATTTCCTGAGCTGCAGAGAGGGCTGAAGTCAAAAGATATTATTACTGGCCTCCCTTTCAGATGTAAAGATATGTATTTTCAGCTTGAATTTTCATTTTCTCTACTTATGAGATTAGGCTTTCCCAGTGTTGATCTCTTCTCTAGACACATTGAACCCCAACTGAGTCCTCAAAGCTAACAGTAAAATAAACAGTTGCTATGTGTGCACACAAATGATTTAGAGTTTCATTATACAGAGCTGCTGATACATCAGGAGGAAGAAGTAGGGGGGAGATAAAATGCTTGATTTTGACTGCAGCGCTGCATTCTATTTCTTCCTTCCTCTGTAGAAAGGAGGTCCTAGAGAACAGTATTTAGGGAAGGGGGGC